GGGCAACGCTGAGCCTAAGGTGGCCACCTGTCCAGGATTCACCCGGACAGTCCGGGTTTTGAATGCTGTGTCTGGATTTCATGGCAGCAGAAACCTGGACACGAGATGTCAGGCAGACAGGGGGCAACCAAAATTAGGATAGGGTCTACTGGCCCCCCACTGAAAATGGTCTCAACTGTGATATTTACATATGAATGGGTAACACTATTTACATATGAATAAGCCGCGACTCATTTCCGCGCGGCGCTAGAGTGTTCGGGTTACGCTTGAAGAAAAGGTGGCGACCCGAGCTGAGCCTTTGCCCCAGAGTGGTGCCCATCATGGTTACATGGCAGGGATCTGAATTCTAATAACAATGCACCATTGTCTGTGATTTCAAACATAATGCTCACAGCATAAGCAGCAGGTTTCCGGAATATGGAACAGTGGGGAAGGAAGTCTAAACCCAAGAAGAAAAATGTCATCTAATGCAGCATACCAGTCCATAGATGGACTACAAATCACCTCCCAGCTGCCCCAAAACCACCTTTTCCAGCTATCGTCTGTGGAATGCAAAACACCGCCCCCTATGTTATGGAGATGAGGGAGAGAGAGGGAGAGAGAGGGAGAGGGAGGGAGAGAGAGGGAGAGAGGGAAGGAGAGAGGTGTTTGCAGTCCAAATCAAAAGAAAAGCCTAAAGTGACAACACTGCTCCTCCCTAGATACAGTACAGCGAGTGTTGCCACCCCAGGACAGGAAGTGTGTAACCTGCAGGCACACCAGGTGAATATAAAGGCAAGCAGGCCTGGAAAAAAAAAAAAAGACCACGAATGCAGCCACCAAATCCATGGACTGGCAAGCTGCAATTTAGGACATTTTTGCTTTAAAATTTTGGTTTAGATATTCTTGAGGCTTTCAAGGTGCTCATCTGCCCTGGTGCCTGCCGGTAGGAGCACGGGTCACTGCGACTATTTTGCCATCGTCCATAGTTGCCGGCCGCTGAAGCTGACAAGGCACAGTCTGTAATGGCTGACGGCGCCATTTATCACAGGCTGCGTTTGGTGGGGAAGCCCAAGTAATGGAAAACAGCCTCAAAGCCGTCTGTACTGTGGTGGGATAAAGGTCAAAGATGGCGCCTTATGACTGAACCACCATTTGAGGCCCACCATAGTCTGCTAACCCCTTATCTACCCACAGTCACTTGTGGTGCCCAGCTGTCACCAGCTTGGCACACCCAATGACACATCAGACTTCACAGCCTTCTAAGGAAACTTACATAAATCTTCTACGTGTGTTAAATCTTTCCGCCAGATTTTCACGTTTCAACCTTCTTCTTTAGGCTTCACCATCAACACGATTGAACTGAAGGCTCTCCCATCCTCCATGCTACAAAATGGCGACAATCTGCGGTTGGAGTGCCTTGTGGACATAGCCAAGACTACTGACTTTAAGTTGAACAGCACATTCAAATTCCTCAAAGACGACAATCTCATCTACAACGTCACCACCACGAACGCTCAGGCCATTTATACCATCCACAATGCCAGTGTGTCCCGGTCCGGCCTCTACAAGTGTCAGATTATTACAAATCAGAGACATAAGACGAGTGCGGAAATAAAAGTGAAGGTTACAGGTAAGTCCAGCCTGGTCTTTGCTTTTGTAGGGGACCATCAACTAATAGAGGGCTCCATGTTTGCTCTGTGACACAAGCTGAACTTACAGTGGCCACTACCAACTGCACAGGTTTATAACATAGAACCCATCATGGCAATGCCTCCATCAGTGGAACAGGAGGGAACATGCCGAATCAGGTTCACAACATAGAATCAGTCATGGCAATGCCTCCATCAGTGGAATTGGAGGGAACATGCCCAATCAGGTTCACAACATAGAACCCATCATGGCAATGCCTCCATCAGTAGAAGAGGGGGGAACATAACGAATCAGGTTCAGAACATAGAACCCATCATGGCAATGCCTCCATCAGTAGAACAGAGGGAACATAACGAATCAGGTTCAGAACATAGAACCCATCATGGCAATGCCTCCATCAGTAGAACAGAGGGAACATAACGAATCAGGTTCAGAACATAGAACCCATCATGGCAATGCCTCCATCAGTAGAACAGAGGGAACATGCCCAATCAGGTTCACAACATAGAATCCATCATGGCAATGCCTCCATCAGTAGAACAGAGGGAACATGCCGAATCAGGTTCACAACATAAAATCCATCATGGCAATGCCTCCATCAGTAGAACTGGGTTGAACATGCCCAATCAGGTTCATAACATGGAACCACTCATGGCAATGCCTCCGTCAGTGGAATAGGAAGAAACATGCCGAATTAGGTTCAAAACATGGAACAAATCATGGCAATGCCTCCATCGGTGATCAGGAGGGAACATGCCACCTTTAGGGTGTTTTGGTTTATCCATTAAATGTTCTTTGTATTTTTTATTTTTATTTTTCCTTTTTTTGTAGTGTTTATGACTGTGTACTGTTGTTATAAATCTTTGATTTATTATTTCTAGATTTAGTTTTGTTTATATTTTGTTATGTTTTTGAGGGTTTAACTGGGCTTTACAAACCACCAAAATTGGCCTTGACTTTAGCTTGCCTATTGACTAATTGAGTTTTGCCAAAAAAAAACTCCCTAAACAATAACCATGTCCCCCAAACCCTCCTCCACTGGTGACCATCTTTACCTCCCCCCACCCAACATTCATTGAAATTTCTTTGCACGCCTTTTTTTACCCATCTTCTACAGTTTTGCTTTGCAGGCATGAAGGTAAACGGTGCCAGGTGACCTAATTATTCAAAAACTGTACTGTCTTTTTGTCTCTCAAAGGGTTGTCCGCACCTGTAATTACAGTATCACAGAGGGAGGTCTCAGAGGGAGATGAAATTACAGTCAGGTGTGAAGCACCAAATGAGGAACCCCCCATGTATTTCAACTTCTACAAGACCGACAAGGAGAGGGGAGCTGCGAAAGTGAAGCAGTCCAACAAGAATAATGCGGAAACCACATATGAGATCAAGGAAGGGGAGAGCATACTGCACTTTGAGTGCTCCATAAGGATGATGATCCAAGATGAGCCAGAGTCCCCTTCAAGCAGGAGAGAGATGGTGACCGTGGTGGGTATGTACTCCTCTACTTCTACTGCATCTGTTACAGAAGAACTTACAGGTTACATCTACCCGAATCTCGTTGTTCATGTATGGGTTGGCATCTAGAGGGTACAACCATGGCTTAGGTCCTTTGGAATCTTCAGTGCCACCAGTCCTCGCTTTAACGTAAACCAAACTAGACATTAAAGGAGAACTATGAGGGGGGGTGATTTGCACTCATCCTCATAGTTCGTGCCGACCTGTGACAATGAAACTGTCACACGTCGGCTCGCTCACTTCTCGATCCTGTGCCGGCAGAGAGCAGTGACAGGGGAGGGACTGGATTCCCCCTCCCCGCTCCGATCCTCCAGCGCTGACTGGCGGAACGGACGGGGGAGGGGGCGGGTACAGCTGGCTCTGCCTCTAGATAGGCAGAGTCAGCTGTCACTCACGCAGCTGGGTGGATCCAGACATAGTTGTCGGGATCCGTTTCAGCTGCGGCGTCTCAGTATACCGCGAGCTGTAGCTCCCTATATACTGAGCTTTGAGTAACGGGAGGATGCTAGTTGTTTTGTTACCCTTGGGAGAACTATGGGGAAAAAGCCCTAACCCCATAGTTCTCCTTTAAGGTGTACAGATCTTAAAGCTGTAGTCTGTAGAAGGTAGTGGGGGTCCACCTGCTGGTACTTGGGCAACATAAACATATCCATTTTAGGTGGCCTGACCCTTCCCAGGCTCAGCACTCCAAATCAATGAATAGCTAATACTTTTTTTTTAACATTTTTATTGGGCTGTGCAATGGGTAAACTCTAGGGTTGCCACCTGTCCAGGATTCACCCGGACAGTCCGGGTCTTGAATGCTGTGTCCGGGTTCCATGGCAGCCAAAACCCGGACACAAGATGTCAGGCAGACAGGGGCAACCAAAATTAAGATAGGGGCTACTGGCCCCCCACTGAAAATAGTCTTGACTGTGATATTTACATATGAATGGGCGGCGCTATTTACATATGAATAAGCCGCAACTCATTCATAGTTACATAGTTACATAGTTACATAGTATTTGAGGTTGAATAAAGACATTAGTCCATCAAGTCCAACCTATTAGGATCTCATTCTAGGAGTACCTGTACCCCTGTATATTACCTGTACCCCTGTATATTACGGTCCCTTAAGAAATCGTCCAAAAGTTTCTTGAACAATTCCACATTATTTGCTGAAATCACCGCCTGTGGCAGTGAGTTCCAGACCCTAACTGATCTTACTGTGAAGAACCCCCTTCGCCCCTTGTGCTGGAATTTTTTTTCCACCAATTTTAGGTGGTGGCCTCTAGTTTTTGTAACGGAGTTAATTTTAAACAGTTTATCGCTAATGTTGCTACCACCATTGAACATTTTGTACATGGAAATCATATCCCCCCTTAATCTCCTCACCTCCAATGTGAACATGTTTAAATTTAGTAGCCTTGTCTCGTAGCTCTGGTCCTCCATACCCCTAATTAGTTTGGTTGCCCTCCGCTGGACTTTTTCCAACTCAAGGACATCTTTTCTTAGTACTGGTGACCAGAACTGGACCGCGTACTCCAGATGAGGTCGAACCAATGATCTATAAAGTGGCAAAATTATAGACTTGTCCCTGCAATACATCCCCTTTTTAATACAGGATTCTCCGCCAAAAAGATGTCAGCACATCGCTAGAGTGTTCGAATTTCTCTTGAAGAAAAGGAGGCAACCCTAATAAACTCTCTGTTTTGTATTGATGTCTACACCCCTGTTTGGGAGATGTCTCCTCCCATCACACCCATGTTAGACAGAAGAGGAAATAATGAAAAAATCCACAGACCGCATAAAAATACATTTTTGAGTGCACTGGAACTTCTGTAGAATGTTTCTGCTGTACAAACCACCACTTCCTGTCCAGGTGTTGGGTGTCAGACAGAGCAGGAAGAGAAATGTCCTACCAATGTCGGCTCTCATTGCTTGGCTGAGGTTCATATTTGGGACCCTTGGTGGTGAAAAGAACCAACGTTAGAGAGAAAATAAAAAGCCCTTTTTTGGTTTAATAGATCCGTGTGATCCTAAATATAGTGTTTCAATTGCAAGACATAATATAAATGATAATGTTTAGCCCTGATCAGCATAGTCCTGCTCATGGACTTCGATCCACACTATAATTCCTTGTTCTGTGTCTTAACAACATCTACAGTACAATAGCTGTGATCGCACCTTCACACCATGTGTTTTTGGGACTTCCTACAGAGCCGTTTGGCACGCCAACTATCAGAGTCCATCCATCAAACAATTTTACAGAAGGGCAAGACATGCAGGTGACGTGCACCGTTCAGATGTCCCACATAAGTTCCAAGGAAGTGACCATCACCTTACAAAAGGGCAACCAAATCCTAAAATCTTCCACCTCAGAGCAGTTGTTTTTTTCTCGGGTGGCAACGGTGGGCGACATGGGCAACTACACGTGCAAAGCAGAGGGAACGGCAGCCTCCAAAACCACCAGTGCCATGATCAAGGTGAAAGGTACACCATGTTCCAACAGTTATATCCATTTTGTGTTGACCCTCAGAAGGTCTTGTCTCCAGGGCCTGGAATACTAATGCTGCTACATTTGCAAAGTTATTACTGCGTTGTTTAATGCATTCTTCAGCTGTGCATTCTTTTATAACCTTTTGATATTATCATTTGCCAGACAATAGTGTATTGGCTATTAATAGCTACCGTGTTTCCCCCGAAAATAAGACACTGTCTTATATTTTTGGGGGTTCACAAAAACACACTAGGTCTTATTTTCGGGGTAGGTCTTATTTTTTTTTTTTAATGTACAACAATCCGCACTCATTCATTTAGAAAAGTCTACATATATATATGTACACAAATATGGTGATCAGGGCAATCGTGGGTGCCGTAGCTTTCCAAGAGCAATTTGCTAACCAATCACTGGCCAGAATGAGCGAAGCGCGCTTTCACTATCAATTCCTCACAGGCGGAGCACATCTGGTATGACTCCGCCTGTGACAGGAGGCGGCGCTATAGAGGAAGCATCAGCTTATGCGTCTCTGCTCCCTCCGGTGCCGCCTCGCTTCCTCTAGCGCTGGCTTCGTTGGCCTCGCTGATTCTCTCCCGCCTCTCCCGCGGCTCTTCAAGTTCCCCCTTATGCCACCACCGGCCCTGGGAATGGTCACCACTAGGTCTTATTTTTGGGGTAGGTCTTATATTTTAGCAATTCCCCAAAATAGTACTAGGTCTTATTTTCGGGGGCAACATGGATAGTAATGCATACTGTCTATTCATAGTAAGATCCTAATTATCCAATCTATCTGTAATATAAACTGTGGGGTGGGAAGGTTTGAAATATGTATAAATTATCAATAAAACTTTGATTTGTTTATAATGGAGGGCCCCCTATTGATTTGTTAACAAAAACGATTTTTCCCTGAAAAAGGAGATCCCACCACTGTTTCAAAATGTTTTCAAAATTTTTGACCATACACTTTATATTAGTCGTAGAAAATTATTTATTAAATATATATTAAAATTGCACATATATAAAAAAATCCATATCAAAAAACATCAACAAACATATAAGTGGCTGCATACGGCTGATAAATAAGAAAACATGCGTGTGGATAAACATTGGTTAGAGGGCACACCCTGAAAACCTCCACTTTATGAAGATATAAGGATTGGATTCCCAAAGATTGGAAAGGTGATGTCAGATGTCGTCATACACGTGTATGGAAAAATGCAAAAAGAAACAGTCAACATGAAAAAATATATATCATTCGTGTAGAAAAAATGGATTTCACTCACAGTACTGTGTATGTTCGCCCATAGATCAAAGTAGGAGGATCGGAGTGGTTTTACTATGGATATAAATTAATTTCGGCTTGATATGCAGATCTTTCAGGAGATCTCTAGCCTCATCTCGGCTTTTATTCCCAGCCGCAGATATATGCCTTTGCTGAACACATGCTTATCTGTAGTGGTGGTTTTCTCCAAGATGGAAAGAAGATATTAGCAGGTCGCTAAGATCTTCTTTCCATCTTGGAGAAAATCACCACTACAGATAAGCATGTGTTCAGCAAAGGCATATATCTGCGGCTGGGAGTAAAAGCCGAGATGAGGCTAGAGATCTCCTGAACTATCTGCATATCAAGCCGAAATTAATTTATATCCATAGTAAAACCACTCCGATCCTCCTACTTTGCTCTATGGGCGAACATACACAGTACTGTGAGTGAAATCCAT